CATGTTCCGCCCAATGCTCCCTAGCTAGTGCTTAGAGATATAAAAATAAATCAGACCCTGAGACTTCTCAGAGGGAACCTGCACATTGCTTGTGATGGTTCTTTTCTCACTTGCCTGCCCGAGACCTCTCCCCTTCCTACCCTGCATCGACTGCAGCTGGTCTGCGGCAGGTGGCGCCCAACGTGGGGCAGGTAAGGGGGGTAATCAATTAATTATAGTTTGGTCTTGGGCGGCCTTCACTCCATAGGGCACTGCAGGCCCCGCACTCAGAGAAAAAGAGTAGGCATTAGAGGGGTGAATAGTCAGAACTTATAGAGAAGATAATGGGCCACAAGGGGTCTAAAGAAAGAGGACTCTTTGTTGATATTTTACAACACTGTTTGCAATCTCATAAGGTTAAGGTTGCTACCAAAGATTTATCAGCCTTCCTGGATTTCATTCAGGAATGTTGTCCTTGGTTCCCAGATGAAGGAACTTTGGACGCGGATACTTGGGGACGCGTGGGAAAAGACATACAGAAATGTTGTACTGAATATGGGCCAGAAAAAACTCCTGTTAATGCTTTCTCTTATTGGTCTGTGATTAATCAATCTATGGGCTCTTCTATGATTAATTCTTGTCCCTCAGATACTTTTCCTTCAGCACCCACAGAGGAAACTCCATTGTTAAAGACTAAAAAATCTCCTTCCATTTATGGTGTAGTAGAAAATGAAAATGATTCAGATGAGCTTTTGTCTCCTTCCAAGAAGAAGGATTTAGAGGAACAAGCAGCTCGATATCACGATCCTGATTGGCCACCTTTGCAGCCCACAGCTTTGTGCAGCCCTAAAAAATCTAAAGGTAAGGCTCGCAGGCAACCTTTTCCTCCACCACCAAATCAGGTTGGCTTTGCAGGAGCTGTTCGTGAAGCTGCTGCGGCGGGCAATGCCACTTTCTCCTGTCTTCCTGTCATTTTTGACGCAGACTGGGACTATGAGCCGGTATGGGAACCTTTATCTTTTAAACTGCTAAAAGAAATTAAAGCTGCTGTACATTCTTACGGGGCTTCTTCTCCCTATACTATGACTCTGCTAGAAACCTTAGGGGGAAAATGGATGACTCCATACGATTGGCAACAGGTAGCAAAAGCCTGCCTACCTGGAGGGGATTATTTACTGTGGAAAATGAAATATGAAGATAAGGTCAAAACAGAATTAGGTCATTCACATAGACAAAAGAAGAAAATCACTATGGATATGCTCTTGGAAATGGGGAATGGGTAACTGCCCAGGAACAGATGCACTTACCTAATGATGCCCCCAGAGAAATAATAATTATAGATTTATGGTAAAAAATTTAACAAGGGGGAGACAGCTTCAAAATGCTCTTTTTATATTTACAGGTATAAAAGCGCTTTTATTCCTTCTGATTCTCATCTCAAGAGATCTCTGTTAATTGACTATTCCAAAGTTTTGACCAGTCATACAATTATAAATCTAATAATCATAAAGAGGATATTATAATTCAATTTGGCCAAATATATTTGAGTGCACTCTAATTTTATAAATTGTCTTATATGTTTATCTGTTGTCTGTTTGTACTGTTGAGCTCAATTTTTTTTTCTTTTTCTCTTTTCCTTTTCACCTTTTGAAAAAAAAAATTTTTTTTTTTAAAAGATATTCACCTATTGTTAAATTGGCTTACAGATAAATGTTATTAAATTAAAGGCATGCCCTCCTTCCCAGATTGCTAATTGGTCAAAGTTTCACCGAGATTTATTTTATAGAAGTAATGTGTATTGTCACCTACATGC